GGGCAGCACCCCTACTTCCCCACGACAGCCTGAGCCCCCTGACCTCCCAGGCCAAGTGTGGAGAGCGGGGCTGGCGTGCCCGTCCATCCTCCCTCCAGCAGACAAGCGAGCCTGGGCAGGTTGGCACCAGCCCTGGGCCCTCAGCCCCTCACGGCAGCCGGGGTCCAGGGTCATTTCCTTGAGGGCTCCGCGAGCCCTAGGCCTGCGTCCCGTCCCTGTCCCTCACCGGCCTGCGCCTGTGTCCAGGCTACAGGCGGGGCCGCTTGCCCACCTTTCCGGGCCAGACCCAGGCCAGAGAGAAAAGAGCACCCCCTCCCCTTGCAAGAGCAAGCCGGGTCCTTCCCTCTGGGGCCACAGAGCCGTCTGTGTCCAGCCCGCACCCTGGCCTGGGCAGAGCTGGGGACCAGGCCTGGCCCTGGTCGCTGAGGCTCCGCTTGGTTCCGGGGAGGTGGCAGAAGGAGCAGCAGCAGCTTCTAGAAGCCTCCAGAGCCGTGGCTCTTTGAGCAAGACAGGGCCCGAGACGGCCCGAGCTTTCTCACGACGGGGCCACGTTCCAGCCCTGGCGGTCATGGCCACGGGCACCCGGGAGCCAAAGCGGGGGCCACAGGCACCCTTCTCGGAGAGGGGCTTGTGGAGCCCGGCTCTCCACCTGCACCAGACCACGAGGGTGAAGGCCAGGGTGGCAGCCGCCCCTGCCAGGCAGCCGGGACAGGGGTGAAGGGCTTCACGAGGCCATCGGGAAGCCTTGGGGTCTCCAACTCGCCCAGCGTCTTTCTCGTGACGGCGTGTGCTGCTTGCGTCCAGCTGAGGCGTCTGGGCCTACCAGAGGCGCGAAGGCGTCGTCCCGGGTTCCGTCTACGGGCTCGGCTGCCTCTGCCTGCGCTCTGGCCTGCGCCCGCACGCGGACTCACTTGGGGACCCGTGTGTACAGGGGATGCTGGGTTACGTATTTTCAAGTGGATTTTCAAGTTGCTCCTGCACCATGTGTTGAAAAGAACAGGCCTCCCCCGCCTCAATGGGAACAGCACCTTGGCTGCGAGCCGAGCGACCGGGCGTGCCTCCGCGCGCCTGTCCGTCTGCCCATCGCCGCAGCTTTGCCGTGACTTTTAGACTCTGGTGTTGCGAGTCCCCTGACTTTGTTGTCGTTCTTCACGACCATCTCGGCTGCTCTTGGCCCTTTGCGTATTTATAGATATTTTAGAGTCAGCTTGTCAGTTTTGAAATAAGCAATAAAGAGCACTCTGATATTGATTGGAATCATATTTAATCTATACCTCCACTTGGGGAAAATTAACATCTTATGAATACTGCGTCGTCTTATTCATGTCCGTATCACACCCCTCGATGGATTTCGGTCGCCTTTCGTTTCTCTCACCAGCCTTTAGTGCTTTTCCGTGTACAGGACTTGCTCCTCTTTTTTTTTTTTTTTGAGACAGAGTCTCACTCTGTTGCCCAGGCTAGAGTGAGTGCCATGGCATCAGCCTAGCTCACAACAACCTCAAACTCCTGGGCTCAAGGGATCCTCCTGCCTCAGCCTCCCGAGTAGCTGGGACTACAGGCATGCGCCACCATGCCCGGCTCATTTTTTTCTACGTATTTTTAGTTGTCCAATTAATTTCTTTCTATTTTTAGTAGAGACGGGGGTCTTACTCTTGCTCAGGCTGGTCTCAAACTCCTGACCTCGAGCGATCCTCCCACCTCGGCCTCCCAGAGTGCTAGGATGACAGGTGTGAGCCACCGCGCCCAGCCAAGGACTTGCTCATCTTTAGACAGATTTGTCCTTAGGCTTGTGGTGAAGTTTATGGGTTTTTTGACGCTATTGTAATTGATATCTTTCTATTTTCTAATTGTTTGTTACTAGCATGTAGGAATATAATTGTTTTTTTACATATTGTCCTTAAAACCAGTGTTCTTGCTAAATTCATCCATTAATTCCAACAGTTTATCTGAAGATTGAAAATTCTTAGAAATTTTTTTATGGATTTGCAAAACCATGACAGTTTTATGTTTTCCTGTCCAATCATTATACCTTTTGTCTCCTTTTTCTTATCGTGATACGCTGGCTGGGACTTTCTGGACAATGCTAAATACAAACGGTGGTATCTTTGTCTTGCTCTCTGTCTGGGGAGGAGAGTGTGTAACTTCTCACAATTAATTATGTTTGCTTAGGGTTTAGTTGTTTTTGTTTTAGTTTTAGCTTTTGCAGATGATGGAGTTTCCTAATATTCCTAGTCTGCCTAAGAGCTGTATTTCTAATTACGAATGGACCTTGAATTTTTTCAAATGCTTTCCTGCATCTTTTGCAATGAATATGTTTTTTCTCGTTCTGTTGATGCGGTGAATTATGGTGGTTGATTCTCCAGTGCTAGGCTAACCGTGCACGACTCGATTAAACCACACGTGACCGTATGTCTTTGTGTTTAGCACCGGGTTGCGTCTGCTGGCGTTGTGCTGAGGGTCCTTGCATCTGTGCTTGCGTGAGAGAGTCACTTGTGATTTTTTTCCTTCTTGAAATGTCCTTTTGACGTCAAGGTTACGCTGCCTTGTAAAAATAATTCTGCAGAGATTTGCAGAAAAATTGCTATTATTTCTTCCTTAAGTGTTTGGAAGAGCTTGCTAGGGATGAAGTCATCTAGACTTATGGTTTTCTTTGTGGGAAGATCATGAACGTTCCAAGTTTAATTTGTTTAATTAATATTGGGCAATTTATGTATTTTTTTTTATTTCTTCTTTTGTCTGCTTTTATATATTGTGTTTTTTTTTAAAAGAATGTATCTTATCTACATTACCAAAATTATGTTTTGATATTATCAAATGTTTTGATGTTTTGAAATTATCAAAATTATGTTCTCGGTGCCCCCCCCCCCAGTGGGGTCAGTGTCCCTAGATCTAGAGTGACGTCCCATCCTTAATTCCTGGCGTTGGTGACTCTTGTCTCCCTCCCCCCTTCGATCAGTCTTGCTAAAAGTTGATCAGTTTTGTTCATCTCCTCAGAGAACCACATTTTAGCTTTGTAGATTTTCCTTAATGTGGTGTTCGTCTTTCATTTCGTTGACTTGTGTGCCTGTCAATACCTGCTTCCTTCTGCTTTCTTTGGGGCTTCATTTGCAATTTTTTCAACGTCTCGAGGTGGGTTCCGGCCTCTTCTCTGCTCCATGACACACGTTTAGAGCCCTAGATTTCCCTCTGTGCACTGATTTACCTGTAAGTTCTGATACGTTACATTTGTGTCGTTATTTAATTCAAACCGGTTTCCCACTCCCAATTGGATTTTCTTTTTTCTTTGGCCCTCCGGTTATTTGGATTGTTTTGTTTCCAAAACATTTGGGGATTCCCTAGTTATCTTTTTTATTGATTCCTAGTTTAATTTTACTGTGGTCAGAGAACATATTAAACATGATGTAATTTCTCTGAAATTTGTTGGAACTTGCTTTTAAAGCCCTGCATATGGTCTCTCTTGGTGCGTGTTCCGTATGTACTTGGAAAGCTCACGCAGCCCTCAGCTGGGGGGGGGGCAGTGTTCTGTCTGTGCCAACGGGGCCACGTCGCCGATCGCGCCGTCCGTACTGGTCTCTGCGGGGGCTCCGGCGGCGGGTCTCCTGCCGGCCTCTCACGAGATGCGCTCAGCACCCCCCCTTCACCGCTGTGGACTTCCTCTTTGACCTCTCAGTTCTGCCCGTTCGCTTTCTATGTTTTTGTTGTGTTTTTAGTCGCATACAGATTTAGAATTGATCTCTTCCTGCCAAGGAAGAGATAATTTTTATAATTACGAGATATTCTTTATCTCTGGTAATATTTAAAGCCTACTTTGTCTGGTACTAGTTTACCTGCACCTTCGTGCATCCAGAGACACCAAGCCACAGTTTTTCCTATCCTTTCACCATCGATTTTTCTGTGTCTTTATGTTTTAAAGTGGATTTATGTAGTTGCTCTTAATCCTGCCTGGCAATATTGATCTTTTCATTGGGATATTGCTCCACTCGTAATGCATGCAGTCTACCCTCTTACGTTTCCTTTTCCTTTGTTTCATCTCTTCTTTTCATTCTATTTTCTTTCCATGCTCCCAGCTGACCATTCTCCTCCAGTCCGCGGGAATTCCTCTCTGCCACGTTTCCTCTGGTCCCATTCATCTGTTGCATCCTTAATTTCCATTATTGCCCTTTCTGTTCTAGAACTCCACTTTTCTAATACCGTTTTTATTTCTCTGGTGAAATTCCCCATCTTTTCATCTCTTTTCTCGAACCTGGTTAGCTTGGTTATTTTTAAGCCCTCATCTAAGAACTCTGAAGCAAACTACAGCCATCGACTCGCAGTCCCGAGTCTGTGGGTGGGTCAGCAGCGTGGGCCGCCCCGCTGGGTGGTCCTACCTGGGCCCACCCTAACATAGGTGCACATGTGGCTCGGCAGTGGGTGGCGGTCTCAGCTGGCCTCGTACCTGGAGCCAGGGCCCCTCAGCTTTCCTCTGTGCCACTCTTCCAGCAAGCCAGCTCGGACTTGTCCAGAGCAGCGTTCTGAGAGGGCCAAAGTGGAGGCTGCAAGGTCTCTGGAGGCTGAAGCACAGGACACCTCGTCCATTTCCACCGTAGTGGAGACACACTCTGGCCCCCGGTGGGAGCAGCTACAATGAATTTGCACCAGTCTCTAACCTACCACCCACCCTTCAATACACCTAAAATGCTCACCCAATTAACAGAAGCCATCCTGCACAAAGTCCTGCAACTTGTGATCTGCCTCTTCTTCCAGCTCTTCTGCCCAATTCCTGGCCCCCAAAATCAATGCCGTATGTTTTAGGACACTGATATGATGGTACCCTACTTCTGAGTCCTAATTTCTTCATTAGTTATCTATTGCTACATAGCAAACCACACTGCAGCTCCGTGGCTTGTTTCTGGAAGGGTCTAGGCCACATGCAGCAGGGGCGCTTGAACCCGGGACAGTGCATGGGGCACGGCCGAACGGGGCGACTGCTCACACCTCCTCTCCCTTCTTCTCCACCACAGGCTGCGGGAGCACCACCGGGCCACCATCAGGGTCATCCGGCGCATGCAGTACTTTGTGGCCAAGAGGAAGTTCCAGGTCAGTCTGGCGCTGAGCGCCCCGCCCCCCGCAACCCCGCCGGCACTCGCCCTGCCCCCGTGGGGGCTGTCACGGTCTCCGTCCCCAGCCCCCCAGGGGCCTGTGTTGACCTCCTTATCCGTCCCTGGGAGGCCCCGTCCCCCCAGATGGCAGGCCCCCTGAGGGACGCCCCTGAGGACCAGCCCGAAGGGACATGTGGCCTCCCCTTCGCTAGTTAGGAGACAGCCTTGGTGAGGGGTGGGTGGGTGATGTCGGAGCAGCTCAGAGATGGTGCGCAGTCAGCCCCGAGTCACGTGGGCAGGAAGCAGGGTCCCCGGAGCCCAGGGCCGTCTCCTGCGCTGGCTCACGAGCCTCCCATGTGCGTCAGGACAGCAGAGGGGCCGGCCGTCTGCGGGAGGAGGGTCCCTTCGGCATTCCTCTGGGAGGGTCCCACAGAAGCCCAAGGCCCCCTTCTGCTGTGGGGACAGTCCTCCAGCTGAGGCGGTAGTGGGGGGAGGTTGGTCCGCACGTGAGAACAGGGGTGCAGGTGTAGGAGACGGGCTCCCGCGGGCGGCCGTTCTCCTTCCAGAAGGCCCAGATCACCCAGGGGGAGGCTTGGGACAACTTGCCAGGGGGGTCGCAACAGCCCTGCATCGGGCTCCAGGCCCCCTCGGCAGAGTCCCCACCCACCCGGGCCCTGGAGTGGCCACACCGCAGCCTCTGGGCCCCATGGGGGGGAGCTGGATGCGGACCCCTGCCCCAAGCAGCCCTGGGCAAGTTCTTCCCCAAATGCAACGGGAACGAGGCCGGGGGCCAGCACGGGACTGTGCACGCGCACGCCTCGGTCCGGCAGCCGCTGCCAGCCCCAGTAGCAGCCCTGGGCCAGGCCCTCACTGAGAGCAGCGGTGTGGCCCCCTCGTCCTGGCCACCAGCCACCACCTGGAGGGACAGTTTGCACACATAGTGGTCCCACGGTAGTGTTCTGCCGCCTGCCCTTCTGCCTGCACCCCCTGGGGGGGCTTACATGGCTCAACTAGACCAGGTTGTGCCACAGCTCCCAGCAAGGCCTGGGACTGCTCACTGTACAAACAAGAGTCGCAGTAAATGCCATTGTCGGCCGGCACCGGCAGAGCTGCCTGGCTGTTCTGGGGAGACCTGAGGGCCCCACAGACCCGGGCGTCACGATTCTGCAGCAGGGCCGGCTGGGACAGGAAGTGACACAGGAGCACTGGGAGAGGAGGCCCCAGCATCCTGGTGGCACCAGCCAGCACCCACCCAGGGAAGGGGCTGCAAGAACCCCTCGAGGCTCAGGTCTGGGCAGGCCAGTCCCCGAGGGCAGAGGGGACAGAGGAAAGGGTCCAGGTATCGCCTCGATGGAGAGCAGTGTGGCCCCGACAGACAAAGTCACTGCCCTCACCCTGGGCCACAGAGGCGGTAGGGGTCTTCCAGGGTGGGGCGGCCCCTGGCCTGAGACGGTGGGCTGCTGCGGGACAGAGCCTAGAACCCAGCAGGGACTGTGGGTCTGTTCCAGGTGGGCACTGGGCTTCCTGGGCATGGCTTCCAGGGTCCGGGGCCCCTGGGCAGCTCCCAGCTCCAGGGGCGACGTGGGCAGCTCCCAGCTCAGGTCAAGAGACCGTCTGCCAGGGCCCCAGCAGTCCCTGTCCCTAAGGTGCAGGCAAGAAAACTGGCCCTTGGGGAGGAGCCGGCCGAGAGCCCTGCACCCCTTTCTGGGCTGCGGTACCCTCTTCTGCCTCTGCACGCAGGCCAGGGTCTGAGAGTGGCCCAGGAAGCTTCCAGAAGCAGACCCGGCAGCACTCACCTCCCTGCTCTCTGCAGCTCCCTGCACCCCAGGCCCAGGACAGCAGTGGGGCCCTTGTGGGGCACAGAGGCTCCTACTGCAGGAGGATGGGGTCTAGGCGCCTCCGCCCTCCCCGGCTGGCTGGCGTTACCGGGGCAGCGTGGGGGTGGGGAGAGGAGGCCTCCAGAAACCGAAGTTGGGAGGAGGGGAGCCCTTGGCAGTGAGGAGCCGTGTGGGGCTCCAGGCGGGACCCGCCCCCCCACCAGCCCAGCTCTCCGCAGCCTTCCCTCCTCCGCCCCCACCGGCCCCTGCCTGGCCTCAGGGGCTGCAGACGTGGCGGGTGGCCCCCCTGGCTGCTTAGCTGGCCGATAAGTCCCTGGCCAGCCGCCCCTGTGTCTGGCCCGAGGAGCCAGAGCCTCTTAGCCCTTCAAGTTTGCCATGAACGCCCCTGTCCACCGTCGGTCAGTCTGGCCGGCCGGCCGGCATTATCCCGGCTCATCTCGGGCTCCGGCTGCCGCGGGGGAAGTGAGCTCCGGAGAGAGTCGGGATGGTCTCCCCGCCAGGCCCCGGGCAGCCCAGTGACAAAGGCCCCAGGAGCCCAGGCCGGGCTGGGCAGGGAGCTTGGCGGCTCCCGGACAAGCCTCGGTGGGCTGGGATGCCACCGGGCCGTGTCCTGGGTGTCAAGGGCCACTGCTGACGCCTCCTGGGCTGTGCCCTGGGTGAGGGGCGGCGGGCCCTGTCCAGCCGTGTCCCTGCTGTCACTCACACACGCAGACGCCCCTCGCTCCTCGCACAGGCTCACTCATGTGTCTACACGGGCCCGGCACGCGTGCCTGGTCACGGTGGCCCGAGAGCGCCCCGGCCGTCTGGGGACCAGCACTAGGACTTGCTCCTGCCCAGGGTCAGGCCTTCACCACCTGGACACCTTACCAGGCACACCTAGAGGTGCCACACGCCTCCTAAAGCCCTTCAGTCCCCAGGGGCATGACCCCACCACTCAGGGCCACCTTGGACATGTGTTGAGAAGAGGCTCAGCCACAGCCGGCTCTGGCTCTGGCATGGCGAGAAAGAGACTCCCCGACCTGTCTCACCTTCCATCTTAGGTAGCCCCACTCGCTCCCTGTCAGGCGGAACAAGGCAGGGCTCAGCACCCCACCTTGCAGAAGGGAGGAACAGGGCTCAGCACCCCACCTTGCAGAAGGGAGGAACAGGGCTCAGCACCCCATCTTGCAGAAGGGCGGAACAGGGCTCAGCACCCCATCTTGCAGAAGGGCGGAACAGGGCTCAGCACCCCAATCTTGCCCAGTAAGGGCCCGGGAACAGGGCTCAGCACGCCACTAGGGACAAAGCCCTGCTGCTACCTACGCGCTCTGTGTGCCTGGCCCGCCGGCGCCACACTGTGCCGTGACCACCCCCGCGCGGCGGCCCCCGGCACCGTGCGTTCAGAGCCACGCCACGCCCACGCCACGCACACGACAGGGAGTGACGCGTCTTCTGCCCGCAGCAAGCGCGGAAGCCCCTATGACGTGCGGGATGTCATCGAGCAGTACTCCCAGGGCACCTCAACCTCATGGTCCCGCATCAAGGAGCTGCAGAGGAGGTGGCAGCCAGGCCCCTCCGGCGGGGGGCGCGTGGGCACCTGGAGGGCACGGACCAGCCCCAGCCCCGGCCTGGTAGGGCAGGGCCAAGACCTGAAGTTCTCCCGCGCCAGCCCTCCCCGCCCCTCCCCTGCCCTCCACGGAGAGGGAGCTGCCGGCCACAACAGCCCACCCCAGCATCTCTGCTGCTTCTGCCCCTCCCAGACCTGGGAGGACGGAGAAGTTATGGGGCAACAGAGGGGAGGGGAACACCTGCCCCCTCCCCACTGGAGCAGCAGACCCCCGCCCCCGCGCCGCACACCACTCTGAGCGGGAGGCCAGGCCCAGCCAGGAGGAGATGTGCCTGGCAGAGGCCCTGCCCCGGGGCCTGGAGCTGGGGACCCTGGCAGCCGTGAGCCAGCGTGTGTTCTGGGCTCTGGCTTGGATCCTGGAGGGCTGGTTCCCATGGAAGCAGTGCCGTCAACGGGGGCCTGCACAGGCTCAGGCCAGCCAGCCTGGGGACCCAGCTCTGTATTGCAGGGGTGTGGCCGGAGGCTAGGTCTGTCTGGCCCAGGTGAGGCCGGGGCTCAGGGTGGGTGCCCCTCCACTGCTGAGGAAGTGCAATGTGCCCCCCCAGCTGCCCCCCTCTTCTCTGAGCTCCCGCCTGGCCCCTCAGGAGCAAGGGTTCACAGGCACTGCAGGTCTTGGGTGGGGTGGGTGGGTGCCCCAGAACGGCGGGTGGGCGGGTGACTGTCTTGCTGGGCACATCAGCACATCCCACTGCCCCACCCCCCAATGGCTGGGCGGTCGGCGGGCCAGGGCGAAGCCTGAGCTGGTCTCTGTCTTCCCCCCCCCCCCCAGGCTGGACCAGTCCATCGGGAAGCCCTCGCTGTTCATCCCGGTGTCAGGTGGGTCCCGCAGCCCCACCCCGCTCTCCCTCCCAGCCGCCGCCCGCCTCTCACCCACCCTCGGACTCCAGAGTCATGGTGGGGGGAGCGAGGCAGACCCCACCCTAAGCAAAGTGGCTTCCAGGGGTGCTTTACAAAGATTCTTCAGTTTGCCTAAGAACCCACCTGGGTCCCTTTAAATGGCGAACTTCCCGGGCACCGAGGTGGGGTGCGGAAACGTGGCCCAGGACAACTTCTCAGGGGGTCCTGGGGGGGGAAGGGCCTGCGGGCGGGGTTGGTGGGGGGACCTGCTCGCAGGACTCAAGGGCTCCACCCAGCTCTGGTGGAGGAAGAGCAGCGAGGGCGCCAGGCCCGGCTCTGCGCCAGCTCACTGCGTGCCCGGGGCAGGGGCTGGGAGCCATGCGGGAAGGGCTGCTCTGTGGGGCTGCCCCAGCCACGTCCAAACGGGAGCCGTAGCTCATGACCAGGCGGGCGCCTCCCCCACTGCTGCCACCTGGATCAGGGCCAGTGCCACCCTGGGGCAGAATGTCACGGGTTTGCACACAGGCAGGTGCCCCGGCCCAGGCAGCCCCAGGCAAGGTGAGCCCGTGGCCACCGGACAGGTTCTGGGAGGTCACGGAGCGTGAAGGTGGAGCAGGGATGGAGCCAGGTGCAGGGTGGCACAGCGGGCGCCCTGCCCTGCCCACCGCGCCAGCCCCTGCTGCTCTCGCCACGGAGCCCTGGGAAAGATGCCCCTGTCGGTGCAGGACTCTCAGCTGCCCCCTGCGCCCCGGCCCCTGTGCCACCAGCCCAGCCAGGGCCGCCCGCCCCGTCCCTCCCCGCCACTGCACGTGCCTGACGTCTGTCTCTGACCCCGTAGAAAAGAGCAAGGACCGCGGCAGCAACACCATCGGCGCCCGCCTGCACCGGGTGGAAGACAAGGTAGGCTCAAGCGTCCGGCCACCGCAGCTCTGCGGTCGGCATCCTTGGGGAGGGCACGTCCCCCTCCCAGTGCTGTCTCAAGTGTGAGCACGGGCCTCCCTCCTCCCTCCTCCCCGTGCTCGAGGCAGCCCCGAGATGGGGCGCAGGTCCACCCCTCACCCGGCCGGGCATCGGTCCCCATGGAAGGGGCCGGCTGGTTTCTAGTCCTCTGAGCAGCGGCGGGAAGTGCTACCGGCCCCGCCCTGGAGTCTCCAAGCGCCGCCATCAAGAGGTGGGTGGGCAGGACGGGTCACGGTCCCCCAGCCCACGCGCCCTGGAGGAGCCAGGGCCCTTCTGTGGATTGCTGCCCCGTGGCTTCCCCACGCCAAAGTGGGGAGCAGGGCCTCAGGGTGGCTTCGAGGTCACCTCGAAGCCACCCTGAGGTGACCACACGCCGGGGCCTTCGAGGTGACCCCGCTACCTCCCGTCTGCTCTGTGCTCCAGGAGGGGTGTGGGGGGCCGGCCTCAAGCCCCAGCCTGCCCTGGGCCCAGCTGTTTGGGCCTCGGTGCAGGCAGGGTGCGGGCAGGGTGTGGGCAGGGCGAGGGTGCAGGGCAACGCGGCGCCCGGCTGGGGTGGGTGAATACAAGAAGAGGGGTCTTCTGCTCGCCCTGAGCCCAGGTGTGCTGGGGGAGGACTCGGCCTGGCCCCCGTGTCCCCATGACCCCTGCCCTAGGGCCCTGCCTGGGTCACGGTGGCAGCTCCGCCCGGCCTCGCTAGGCATCTGGGAGGTGCAGGGTCTGTGGCTCCCCCCAAATCCCCCGTGCCCTGGCCGCCCACGGCCCCATGAATCCAGATGCTAGGGCTCCGGCACGCACAGATGGGCCACCGGGGTGCCCCGCACCCTGCCAGGACCTGTGCCCTGCACCCAGGGTGGCCCAGGAACCACAGGACACTCCGGGCCCAGGGGGTGGGGGTTCTCAGGCCCACGGCTGAGCCCCCCACTGCCCTTTGAAGTTGCTGCAGTTGGAAGCGGGCTGTTATCTTGCCGAACGGCTCGGCTGTCTACATGGGCTTTATCTGAAAGTAGCTGAGAGGCTAAAAATAGAGGAATTTCGGTTGGGCAGGGAGTGCGTCTGCTGTGCGGTTTCCCCAGCAACGCCTGGCTCTGGCCCACATCCATCTCGGCACAGCCCGGCCCACGCTCCGGGCGAGCCGGCTCCCCGTCCTGCCCCACCCCGTCCCGGGCCCGGGGCCGGAGGCATCACCTCTCCCCACCTGGCACAATCGGCCCGTGGCCTGGGGCGGACATGGGGCCCTGGGGCCGGTGGCTGGGGGCCGGCAGGCGGAGGGCCAGCGTTCAGGTGCCCGCCGGGACACTCGCTCGGGCCTGGTCCGCTGGGGCTGCGTGGCCCCAGCACCCTGAGCCCCGCCGGCGGAGGGCCCGGCCATCCGTGGGCAGAAGGTGTGCCCATGTGGCAGGGCGGGGGCCGGGCGCTGGGGGAGGTCTGCTGGCGAGGCCGGCCAGGCCCAGAGGCCCAGGAGCCCCAGTCTCCACCGTCTGGCAAGTGGGGTGTCTGCTGGGCTCTCCCCGTGTGCACACGAGGGCACACCCGAGGTGGCGGGCCGGGCACCCCGTGTTGAGGGCAGAGCTAGGAGTTTCCAGACATCAAAGGAAGCCGTGCTAGAGCCAGGGGGCGGCACCAGGCCCCCTCCACTCCTCACGCAGCCCGAGAGCAGCCCTGGCCAGGCAGCCTTTGTGGCCCGGCTCCCGCCACAGGCAGGATCCAGGAGGCCTTTCATGGATGGCAGGGTCTGGGCGAGAGCCTCCCGCCCGGCAGTCCCCTGCCCCGGCCCGCCCTGCCCCGACCCGCCGCTCCAGGCCTTTCCCGGGGTTCTGGCCCCTGCTCCACAAGACAGGCCACCCCCCTGAAGCCCAGACCGGGAGCCCAGTGCCCTGTGGGGTGGCAGCGGGTGGCCGACAGGGAGACATGGGGCCCTGAAGGGCAGCACCCCCTCTCCTGGGCGTGGGGAGCAGCCAGCTAGCGGCCCGCCGGGGTCTGAGGACGAGAACGCAGCCGGTGCGTGACCAAGGTCGGCCTGGTGGGCTGCGGTGCGGCCAGCGCCGGCCTTGAGGGTGCAGAGTTACTGCCTGTCCGTCAGATCCGAGCAACAAAGCGAGTGTTTTCCGGAGTCCCTGATCCCTGGGGGCAAGGTTTGAGAACAAAGCGGGCGAGGCGGCGCAGGGCCCCACCAGGCTCTGAGCCAGGGCCTCGCGGTGCTGGGAGACCGCACGCACCTCGCCTGGCGGTGCCGGCTCTGTGCCGGCCCGGTCCCGGCACCGAGTCCCTGTCCTGGGGTCCCCAAGTTAGCGAGCGGCACCCGTACTCCACGCCGAACCTCAGCCCCTCGGAGGGGTCTGAGCTAGAACCGGGCTGCCGTCGAGGGGTTAGCAGGGACGTGCTGACCCGGCTGGCCAGGTGGCAGCCTGCCCAGCCCCTCCCCCGCCTGATGCCCCCTCGGGGACAGACCCTGGGAAAGGCCGCCGGGCCCCTCCCTCAGTGCAGTTATCAACGCGGCCATCGGGACCATGAGCAAGCCAAGCGCAGTCCTGCTGACCTGGGGGAGCAGGGGACAGGAAGTCCAGCAGCCACTGGCCTGCGGAGGCCGGGCGGTGCCAGCCAGCCCGCCAGCCCAGCCGGAGCCCCGGGCCCTCCCGGAGGCCTCCTCCCCTCCCCAGCACCCCCCACCCCCGCTGGCTCTGGGCCAGGAGGGAGTCAAGGCTGCAGCCCCCAGCTGCTTTCTCAGCTCAGCCCGGCTCCAGGGACGAGGGGCCCCGAGAGGAGCAGGGGAGAGGCCTTGGGGACGCACAGCTGCCTGGCCCCCGCTCCCGGGAGGGGGTCATTCCAGGGGTCAGGGAGGCCTGGAGTGTCCACTTGCAGAGTTACAAAAAGTGGAGTTTTTTCAGGCTTGCCTCGGTTTCCCTAGCAGGGAGCCCCTGCTCCCTTCATGTCCGGGCCAGGGGCCCACCCTGGGGAGCGGGACCCCACGGGCTCCCCACTCGCCCAAGCCCCGCTGCGCTGCCTTGTCAGGACTCTGCTTGGCAGCGTGTGTCTTTGCTCCAAACACAGCCGTCACCCGTCCTGCAGGCTGTGCCCCACGCCCGGGACACCTTCCCGCCGTGCCTGGCCTGGCCTGGCCGTCCAGGCTCTGCCTCGCCCCGGGGCGTGGGGAGCGGAAATGTCATTCCCACCCCCCAGATAGCACCGGCCGCTCCCCGCCCGCCCCCTTCTGTGTGCTCATGCTTCTCGGCGCTCATCTTATGTTATCATCTTCTTTGTCCAGGAAAGGACTCTTGGTTGCCCAGATAAATCCTCTTTTACAGGTGGGAAAACTGAGGCCCAGAGAGGTTAGGCAGTGCCTGAGGCCACAAGCCAACTGGGTGAAGGGCTGGTCCCAAGGAGGCCACAGACAAGTGGGGGAGGCAAGGGGGTACACAGAGAAAACAAGAAGGTGTTTCATAATCACTCCGGGTTTGGAAAGAGGCCAGGGGCAGAGGGTGGGGGTCAGGGAAGGGGCCAGCAAGGTTGGCCTCGTGGGGTGGATGGTTCCGACAGTCCCCTGCAGCGGGAGTCCTGAGGACCCTGGCCCTGCGCTAACCTGCCAGCCCCAGGGCTCCTCGGGGTCCTGGGCAGGGCTCAAGGCCAGCAGCGTGGCCTGCCCCGGGGTTGGGGGGGGCGATGGCAGGGCTGTCCCCCCTTCCTCCTGAGCATGGGTCCCCGGCCACGGCCCCGGGACCTGCCACAGTGTTTGCGCTGGGCCCTGTTTGCTTTGCAAGCTAAGCTCACACTGCTTTTGCTGATAGGAGCACAGCGGGCTGGGGGCTGCTTTCTTCTCTGTTTCGGCCGGAAATGTTCACAGCTTAGAGCCGGACACGGGGGAGTCCCAGGTTTCTGGGCCCCAGTCAGAGGGCGCCGAGTGGGAAGAGGCCCCCACCTGACACTCCCCCCACTGCCCCCTGCCCCAGGAGCCGGGCAGATGCACCCCCCTAGACGACAGTGCCCACCCTCCCAAGCTGGGGCGCAGGCCCCAGCCCCCCAGATGCTGGCTCCACGCTGCCCCCCATCCCAGAAGGGACCCCCACCCCCTCCGACCAGGCCTGCAGGCCAGACCCCAAGGCCTCCTCAGCCTGTGCAGGGCCCCCAGCCCCGCCCCCGAGCCGCCCAAGGCCGGCAGGCTGCCCTGGCTCTGGAGCCCAGCCCCGCTGAGCTCAGGCCTTGGCCCTCTCCTGCTCGGATTGTTTTCCCAGCCACCTATGTGGTCCCCAGCCTCCCCCACCCCCGCCCGCCCGCCGACCCTTCACGTCGTATGTTATTTCTCCAGCACTGCTGAGATGCATTTGCTGATCTTTTGTTCAGAATTCCTGTGTCAATATTTACGTGTGAGATACACGCATAACATGATCACACGATCTCCTTTGCTGGGCTGTCCCCGACGTCAGGCCGGGGCACCGGAGGGACGGACGTGAGCTTGGCGGGCCGCGCCCGCCGTGGTCCCTCTCTTCCCGGAGCTGGGAACGTCCGTGGAAGTCCAGCGCTTTTGTTCTTCCCTCGGGTGTTTGGTGCAACGTAAAGGGTGAAGCCAGGCGTCCTAAAACTACGGCCCGCGGGCCACATGCGGGCCGCCTAGCACATGTATCCGGCCCTCTGGGTGTTTTTGCCGCCGCTGCCTGCCCTGCTTAGCAGCCGACTCGTCCCGGGCCCACGTGCGCTCTCTCCAACGGTCTGAGGGACAGTGAGCTGGCCCCCCTGTTTAAAAAAATTTGAGGACCCCTGGGTGAAGCCGTCCACGCCCGGTGTTTCCTTTGTGGGAAGATTCTTAATTACGAATTCAGTGACACTCACAACGAGGGGGAATTCGGGTTTTCTACCTCTTCTTGCCTCAGTTTTGATATACATGCTTGTAAACTCCAGGGATTTATACATTTCATCTCAGCTTTCGGATTTATTGGCACTTGGGACTG